GTGTCTTAGCACTTCTGCTGAAACCTCTGATTTAACAGCTTATTACATAACTAAAAAATAATCAAGTCTATCAGGGATTTGGATATCCTCTCCGTACTGGTTTAACCAGTATTTGGTAAGGCATTTAGTAAGCCTCAAGTTTAGTTTAATAGACAGCTATTTAAAAAACTGCCAACCAAGAAAGATTGAATACACACTCCTTAAAGATACATAATACGGTACGTTCATAATACTGCCTGCTTATTAAGCTACAAAGGAAATTTGATCAATTCCAAGTAGCAAAAGTCATACCATTACATTCATTGAACACTATGCAATACAATTAAAAATAATTTTAGAAAACTATATCCATCCTCCTATCTATATTAAAAAATATTTTTCAATATAGCTCTAGGATTTAAGAAAAATTTCAAAAAACCAACACTCCTGTGAATTGTGGTCAATGGGTTGTGAGGATGTAAACTTTTGACTTTAAGTGCATTTACTAGAAAACAAGAAAGACTGTAAGTAGTCTTAGCTTCCACGAACTTGATCAGCTGAACTGATTCTTTAAAAGACAACAGCAACAAAAAAGCCCCAAATCTTTGAAAAGTCTTATGTTAAAAAGAAAGAGAAAGAAAGAGAAGGAGCAACTTTAGGAACCCAGCAATGGATGAGGAGATTTTTTTCAAAGAAGAAAAAGGAAGGCAACACTATTTAAATCCTTATACCTAGAAATTGAAAACCTAGATGAAATAAATAGCTTTCTGTGAAACTAGGAATCATCCAAACTGGCTCAAAAAGAAGTAGAACAACATCGAGAGGTCAACAGTTGCAGAAGAAATGAAAAAGACAGTTATGAAGAGCAACACCTAAGCTGAATGTCCCGACATTTTACAAGGAAATAGTACCAAATCTTCAAGGTCTAAGAAAAAACAAACACACCCGTATTTCCAGGATAGCCAAACATCTTGATTTTCTTGGGACTGCAGGGCTCCTGGGATGTGGAACTTTCAGGGTTAAAATTGGGACGACCCTGGGACAAGTTGATTTCCTCCATATTTTATAAAATGTTAAGACAAATGAGCAGGACTCTGATACCAAAATGGGACATTGGAGAGTCGGACGTGATGGCTCACACCTGTAATCCCAGCACTTTGGGAGGCAGAGGCGAGAGGATGGCCTGAGTCCAGAGGTTCGAGACCAGCCTGGGAAACATGGTGAGACTTTGTCGCTATAATACATCAAAAAATTAGCTGGGCATGGTGGCGCACGCCTGTGGTTCCAGCTACTTGGAAGGCTGAGGCAGAAGGACCACCTAAGCCCAGCGAGTCAAGGCTGCAGTGACCGTGAGCATGCCACTGCACTCCAGCCTGGACAACAGAGTGAGACTCTGACTCAAAAACAAACAAATAAATAACAGCATTGGAGAATTCCAATCCAAGTTAAATATTCACAAACAAAATCCAGCAGTTTGTTTTTCAAAAAGCAATTTGGAAAAAAGGCATAGATGAAAATGTTCTTAAATCGATAAGAGATATCTACCAGAAATGGCAGGAAACATAATGCTTCATATTGAGAAACATGGAAATATTCTCAGGGCAGTAGGGAGTACATGTTTATTGCCACAACTGCTTACGCTGTACAGAAGGTGTCAGCCAAGGTCAGGAGGTCAAATATATGCAAATATTGGAAAGAAAGGGGCAAAATTGCGCTCTTTGTAGAGAATATTATTGTCTGTGATGAAAAGTCAAACGTTGATGAATAAACTATTAGAATGACTTAAAAAAATTTAGCTAAGTGGCTGGGTAAGAGCTCCTAATTGAAAATAACAACAAATTAGAGCACATAGAAAAATAGCCAACCAAACTGATTGTTTCCTATGTGACAGTTTCTGTGCCACACAGTTTTTTTTTTTTAAAAAAAAAGAGTCTTACTATATTGCCCAGGCTGGACTCGAGCTCCTAGGCTCAAGTGATCCTCCCGCCTCAGTCTCTCAAATGTTTGGGACTATAGACACATGCCACCTTGCTCGGATATGTTCCAGACACTTTTTTGGTATTCTTTTATTTGATCCTCAGAACAGTTGGTTTGTGCAGACAGATTATAAGTGATAGAGACAGGGTTGAACCCAGGTATTTAATTCTGAAGTTTCTTCTATCCAAAATAACTCAGGTCATGATGGCAATGGATAAACGTTAGATTCTGGTGGCCGGAACAATCAATGTCCACCCAGATGCCCATTCTTTCTTCCAGCGTACAGAAGTGTAGCTGGTAAGGGGCTGCCCAGCCAAGGTGTTCCCAGATTCCTAATATCTGTGTGGGGCTGTGTGACCAATTTTGCAAATGACATCAAGCAGAAAGGATGTATGTCTCTCTTGGTCAAGATGATTAAGGAGGGGGTGAATCCTCTCCACCCTCTCTTAATCCTTGCACTGACTGGATGTCAGAGCCCAGGGCAACTTAGAACCTGTGTTAAAGATGACAAAGCCTTGCTCAGCCTTGGGTCCCCAATGGCCAGGGGAAATAGGGTCTGTTACATGAAACAAAAACAAACTTCCTTTGCGTTAAGCCACTGAAGTTATGGTATTATTTGTTATAGCAGCTCATGCCATTCAAACTAATGCAAACCTAAGGAGATTTTGATGAAGAAACTTCTAAAGGTTTTTAGCAGGACATAAGAGATCTGAATAAATGGATACCGTATTTATGGATGAGGCATCTGGTTACTACAAAGATGTAAGTTTTTCCTTAAACATCTTTAATCTCAACATAATACTTAACTAGACAATTTTATCATTTGCTCGGAAGATTAAACAAAGAGGATGAAAACATTTTGAAAGAAAATAATCATTGGTGGAGAATTCATCAGACATCAGAAGTCAGAAGTGGCCCTGGCACTTTTACAAGGAGAAAGTATTTGTGAGTGAGCAGTATGATTTGACAAATTAAAATAGAAAAAGGTGTAAATGCTGGGGCTTCAACCCCAGAGGACTTTATGTGGATGATTTTGGTGGGAATTGGTGTTTTTCTGACCTCTTGGGGATTCTGAGACCATGGACCTGAGAGTGAGTTATTGGCAATTGGAGACAAGACAGTATAGTCCATAATCCATTTTCTTGCGTGTTTTCTATGCCGTTCAGCTCCTTCTTGATGTGATGACATGGTGCTCGGTTTCTGCAGCACACATACTGCAGTTGGGTTGACACAGAGATTAGCATGAGTTCCAAGGGTGTCACACGCAGTTGAGAAGTATTCCGTATTTTTGTTAAGAGGCAAACTTCGTTTTGCATATTTCACCACACACACACACACACACACACACACACACACACACACACACACACAAATAACAGTATAAATCATTCAACTAAAACCACAGAGAAAGATGTCAATGAACTGGGGTCTTTGTCACACATTCAGATGTAATCAGTCTCTGTTTCAATGAGTGTCAGTTTGCCTTTTTTTATCTTTTGGGAAAAGCTTGAACTTTTCTTTCTGGTGGCATCTTTAGTGTAGTCGCATCTCGGGCTGTCTAACTCCTAGCACACCACACTTATGTGCCCCCCTGGAGTCTCCCCTGCTGCCACCATGCTGATGCGTGCCCTCCACACCCTCAGCCCTCATGAGTCCAGGCATCACCTGTTCTGAAGGTTCACCTTGCTCCTCTTGAGGGTGCATCTGACTCTTTGACCAGTGCTCCCTATTCCGTATTCTTTCCTGCTGGGAGTCAGAACTCAGGAGGGACTGGGGCATGGTGGCTCACGTCTGTAATCCTACCACTTTGGGAGTCAAGGCAGGGGATTACTTGAGTTGGAGACCAGCCTAGGCAACATAGTGAGACCTTGTCCAACAACAACAACTACAACAGCAATGACACAACACAAAAGAACACAGAGGAAGGCCAAGTGACCCACAAGAGGAATGGCCTCGTGAATAGGACGCAGCTCAAAAGTGGCTGCAGAATTTCTGTTTTTATTATGGGCTGCTGCCCTAGACTCTGGTACATAATATCGAGTATAAAGTCCCAATATTTTCAGTTGCAACACACAGCTGACCTTACCCATTCCAGAGAAGCAACTCTCAGATCGTAAGCCTGTACGAGAAAAGCACTCAGGGTAGTTCCTGGCCCAGATTAAACACACAAATGCCAACTACGATGACAAGGGCTCAGTTAGCCTGGCCCATTGCTTCTGTTTTGCTCAGAGCCCAGAAACCTTTGTCACATTCTGCACACTTAAACCCAGTGAAAGACTGGGTGTGGTGGCTCACACCTGTAATTCCAGCACTTTGGGAGGCTGAAGTGGGAGGACTACTTGAGCCCAGGAGTTCAAGAGCAGTCTGGGCAACATAGCGAGACCTCATCTCTGCAAACAAACAAGCAAACAAACAAAAAGTAGCCAGCGTGGTTGTGTGCACTTTTAGTCCCAGCTGCTTGGGAGGCTGAGGCAGGAGGATTTGTCTGAACCTAGGAGGTTGAGGCTGTGGTGAGCCGTGATTGTGCCACTGTACTCCAGCCTGAGCCACAGAGTGAGACTCTGACTCAATAAATAGATAAATAAAAAATAAACCCAAGTGAAACAAACACATCACCCTGTAACCCAGCATGTTACCTTGAGACCAATGCACTTTTAGTATCTTTTTATTTTTCGTTTTTTAGAAATGGAGTTTTGCTCTGCTGCCTAGGCTTACGTGCAACAGCACAAGTATAGCTCACTGCAGCCTCAAAGTCCTAGGTTCAAGCGATCCTCCCACCTCAGCCTCCTGAGTAGGAACTACAGGTGCGTGCCACCACACCGGACTGATTTTTAAGTTTTTTGTAGAGATGGAGTCTTGCTATGTTGCCCAGGCTGGTTTTGAACTCCTGGCTCAAGTGACTCTCCCACCTTGGCCCCTCAAAGCCTGGGGTTGCAGGTGTGAGCCACTGAGGCTGGCGAGGCCAATACACCTTTGAAACAAGACTTTCCTGTCCCCTCACGTTGGTCTTTTTTGTTTTTGTTTTTTTTCTGCTCCACCCTCAGCTGGCTAGACGTGGCCTCAACGTTGTGCTCATCAGCCGGACATTGGAAAAACTACAAGCTGTTGCCAGGGAGATCGGTGAGTGACCCCGCGAGAGCCGAGCCTGCTCCCATCCACTCCCCCATTTACAAAGTGAAGGGCAGGACTGAAGGTGTGAGCCAGGGGAAGCAGGAGCGAATTCAGGCACAGACAAGTCCACTTTCTCCTTGGGTCTGGCGCCTTCATTCCTGGACTCTCCCCGACTCCTGGCTACTTCTGACGCTCCCTTCGAAAGCGGGATCTACGTTTGGGACTTCATGCTCTTATCCTTGTAGGAGGATGAGGCATGATGCTTCCCAGCAGTTTTCAGATTTTTAAAAAAATAATTTGATCCAGGGCAGCCATGTATGATTGTGAAGGTTGTACACCGTACAACCCTAAGAGGCACTTTTTTATTTTTTGAGTTGGAGTCTCACTCTGTCACCCAGACTGGAGTGCAGAGGCCACTCCCGGCCACCACAGCCTCGACCTGCTGGGTTCCGGCGATCCTTCCACCTCGGCCTTCTAAGTAGCTGGAACTACGGCGCGCACTACCACGCCTGGCTAATTTTTGACTTATTGTAGAGATGAGGTCTTGCCAAGTTGCCCAGCCGGGTCTTGAACCCGCGGGCTCAGGCAATCCGCTCACCTCGGCCTCCTAAGGCACGAGATTACAGGCTGAGCCACCGAGCCCAGCTCAAGAGGCAGATTTTTACATCATCATCGTTCCTTCTGAAGTCTTCTTAGTTAATAATGATCATAGCTTTTCTTTTGGGGGGGGCATCTGAATTTTAATAATTGTTAATCTTAAAATTAGTAAACTCTTTAATTCAAAGGGATGTGCATTCAGTGATGGGCTCTAGGGAAGACCATGAGGGCTGTCTGGGGGCAGCCTTGTTCCCCTGGGGGAGATTTGAGATAGGAGGAGTGTGTGGGAGGTGTGAGGACTGTCCTTGAATGAATGAATTCCGCTTCTGTTCTGTCTGGATAGTAGAAGTAACTCTGAATCGGACTAGGACGTTCCTCGGCGCTTTCCTTATGACAGTAAAATGTGCATTCTTTTGAAAAGCAAGGGTCGTCCTTGGACTGAGAGCTTTCCCCTTCCCCCAACTATGCCTCAAGATTGCTTGGCCCAGAAATGCTGGCTCTGACTCCAAGCAAAGGCAGTTCACCATGCCGTTGGAAGACTGCTTGTGGCTTTCATATCTGCCTGAGAACCCCTGCTCAAGGCAAGCAAACACAGAACAGTGGAAAGGGCATTGAACTTGGAGTGAGCAGAGTGTGGGTGCCTTTGGGCAGACAGTTAGCTTCTCCGAGGCTTAGTTTTCGCCCCTGGAAATTGGGAATAATGATATCTACTTTACAAGGTTGTAGGGAGGATGAACATAAGCTACCGTGTATGTGAATACCTCCTGAATGCTGAAGTGTTGGACAGCTGCCAAGGATGGCTATGTCTGCGTGGGGCGGACCCCGTGCCTCGCCAGCAAAGGCAGTACTGGACCTTGCTTTCACAGCTGTTAGTCCAGGGGGTCTCAAGTTCAACACGCACCAGAGTCACCTGGAGGTGTGTTACGACACATGGCTGGCTGGGCCTCACTCCTAGGGTTTCTCCTTCAGTAGGTCTTGGGTGGAGCCTGAGGATTTGCATTTCTCGCACGTTTCCTGGCGAGGCTGACGCTGCGGTCTGTGCATCCCATCTATTTTAAGGCACACAGTGACCCTCAGAAACCCACAGAACCATCGTTCACAAATCTCTTAGCACCGCCCAGCATTACCCAGGGCTGTTTCTTCTTTCTAACGGGGGTCACGAGCAGTCCCCTTAAATGTCTGCTCAGGTAGTATACCTGAGCACGGGGCAGGGGGGGGAGGGAGGGTCTTATAAGCCGGGGGGAATTGGCACCCTGTTCATTAAGACAAAACCAAGCCAAACCCTGCTGTTTCTCATGCAGAGTGGACAACAGGGAGCAGGGTAAAGGTCATACAGGCAGATTTCACCAGAGATGACATCTATGAGTGCATTAAAGAAAAGCTGAAAGGCTTAGAAATTGGCATTTTAGGTAAGTACATTTTAAAATGCAAAGATTGTCGTAACACAACAGTGAAAGAATTATCCTAGTGACACTTGATTATTTTGTGGTCGCTTAAACTTAACCCTTGACTGTATTTTAAGCTATTATATTAAACTGAATATTAAAGCTAATTTTTTTTTAAGGAGATGTGGCTGGATTTAAAAAAATGTACATGTGGTTTGGGAATGTATTGAAGTTATATGTTCCAACCTTTCTACTTGCATTCTCTAATACTAAAATGAGTTTTCTTTCGTGGAACTGTTGTTGACATTTGACAGAAGAGAGACTCCAGAAACACTGGCCTAAGGGAATTAGTTTAGCAAATAAACGTTGCTGTGATTGGTCCACAAAACAGTGAGTTAGTGGAGTTATTTGAGAATTGACTCTTGACTCTGTTTCTTATTCAGAAAACAAGATAACATTTTTTCTATAATGATCTATAGATAAGGCATTTTATAGCCATAGGCACAAGGCAGTATTTATATTGTGTGTAGGAGAAAGTAAAATTTGATTTCTAAACTTCTTGCTCAATTTTAAAAATAATTGCACTTTTAGGTTGGGCGTGTTGGCTTATGCCTGTCATCTCAACACTTTGAGAGGTTGAGGTGGGAGGATTGCATGCTTCCAGGAGTTCGAGATCAATCTGGGAAATATAGCAAGATCTCATTTCTAAAAGACAAAAAAAAATAGCCAGCCATGGGGGGCATGTACCTGTAGTCCCAGCTACCTGGGAGACTGAGATGAGAGGATTGCCTGAGTCCAGGTGTTCGAGGCAGCAGTGAGCTGTGATCCTGCCATGGCATTCCAGCTGGGTGACAGAGTGAGACTGACTTTTAAAAAATTGCATTTTTCCAAAGAAAAGGGTGAAACATATAATTGCAGAAACATTGGAAAGCATAGGCAGCCTCATAAAAGAAACATGAAGTTCTTAAAAATCCCAATAGTCCAAGCAGCATTTTGATGCATATTCTTCCAGGTACAAAACTGGAATTATACGCATGTGCTTTCTCTCAAGTCTTTAAAATTTTAGGCAGTTTTTTTTTGTTGTTGTTTGTTTTGAGTTGGGGTCTCACTCTGTCGCCAAGGCTGGAGTGCAGGGCATGATCACAACTCACTGCAGTCTCGACCTTCTGGGCTCGGGTGATCCATCTGCCTCAGCCTCCAGAGTAGTTGGCACTACAGGCATGCACCACCATGCCCAGCTAATTTTTTTGTAGAGATGGGAGTCTCACTATGTTACCTCAGCCTCCCAAAGTGCTGGGATAACCAGAGTGGAGCCACTGTCCCCAGAAGCCATAGTTTTAATTGACTTCATTGCATTACAACACATGACTATATCATGATTCATTTAAGGTATCTCATATTATTGGACATTTTCCCCTCCAATTTCCTCACTGTAGTCAAATCATGCTGCAATATATATCTTTTGGGGCGTGTTTCTTTGGGGAAATGCCCCACCTTTTCCTCTGATACATTTTTGTTTTGCCCCTTGCTGGCAGTTAACAACGTTGGCATGCTTCCAAACCTTCTCCCGAGCTATTTCCTGAGTGCGCCGGATGACATCCAGGTATGCCTGTGCTCCTCTGTGCAGGAGTTCCTCTCACCCAGGTTCTGGGCCCCCTGACTGGATGGTCACCAGGGCCCAGGATGGAGTGACAGAAGAGTGGGCCTGCCAAAATTCTGTTTTGTGCGGGGTGTGTCTGAGAGCCCCTTTCTTTCTCCCTTATGCTTGATACACAGTCATGGGTGCAACTTCTCATGCCCGTCTCTAGGATACAGACATCCTCCCCCTTCTCTGCACATCAAAACTCACCTGTCCAGAGTCCCATACTTTGGGGGCTCTGTGTTCTGCTTTGCAAAGGGGGAATTCTGAGGCTGGGCACGGTGGCTCACGCCTGTAATCCCAACACTCTGGGAGACTGAGGCAGGAGAATCTCCTGAGCCCAGAAGTTTGAGACCAGTCTGGGCAACATAGTGAGACCTAATCTCTACTACAAATATATATAGGCAAAAATTAGCCAGGTATGCCAGCATGCACCTGTAGTCCCAGTTATTCGGGAGGCTGAGGCAGGAGGATTGCTTAAGACCCGAAAGTCAAGGGCAGTGAGCCGGGATCGTGCCACTACACTCTACCCTAGGCAACAGAATGAGACACTGTCTCAAAAAATAAACAAACAAAAATAAAGGGGGAATTCATAGCTGAGGACATATGTAGGCAAAGGCCAGCTTTTTGGCTTTCTCCGTGTTCCCAGGTAATAAGATTTGTGTAACTTTCTGTGTGAGGGAAATTCATGACACCAACTCTATGGCTGGGAGCATTGTAATTTCGGTAAGCTTGGTTCGGAACCACAGCTGCAACTATGAATCAAGAGGACATTTTATTCTGTATTTTTATTTATTTATTTATTGTACGGATGAGGCCTTGCCAAGTTGTTCGGGCTGGTCTTGAAACCTTGGGCTCAGGCAATCCTCTTGCCTCTGCCTCCCAAAGTACTGGGATTACAGAGGTGAGCCACCGTGCAGGGCCTCAAGAGTACACTTTAAAAGCATTTTACAGTCCCTGAAGGTACTATTTGTTGACCTATCCTCAGGACTGACCTTTGAAGTCATGGGCTTATCTGCATCTGAACAGGCTACCAAGCTTCCGTTCCCCAAGTCCACGGTATTCCACATCCCGTGAAGGACCCGGGCAGCTGCATTGGCTCCTGGTGCCAGAGAGCTTGGGCATTGCTGAACACCCTTATCAAGCTCCTCTCCGGACTCCACGTCTAATCCTGGGTCACTGCTTTCCACACTTCCTGTTCTTGGCACAAGTCTGTGTTTCTCCATCAAGCAAGTTCTATAACTGCTCCTCCTCCTGTTTCTGTCGGGGTTTGAGCTTGTGTCTGTGTTGGTCCCTCTTTTCCCCTCCCTTTGTGTTCGGTAATTCTACTTGTTTCTTTGTGTGGCCTCTACAGCCCAGAGTCTCTACCTTGTGTCATACAACCCTTTGCCTTTCGGGTCTCCAGGCTGTTGTCTCCTAGACCCATGTATGTTAACTCCTCTTCCTACACAGTCAAGGATGTAACTTTTCATGCCCGTCTCTAGGATACAGACATCCTCCCCCTTCTCAGCACATCAAAACTCACCTGCCAGAGTCCCATACTTTGGGGGCTCTGTGTTCTGCTTTACAAAGGGGGGATTCTGAGGCTGGGCACGGTGGCTCCTGCCTGTAATCCCAGCACTTTGGGAGACTGAGGCAGGAGGATCACCTGAGTCTCAGGATGGAATGTCCTCCTGTGGAAAATCGTATTTCTATGCCTCCCTAGATTTTCAATAAAAGCCTTAATTGACTTCTGTTCAAGAATGCACAGGGGTAGATCACGGACTGGATGTCAGCTGCTCTCGATTCTAGCATGCACTTGCTGATGGCTAGGAGGAGTCTCGCGTGCAGGCTGAATGGGTGATGGGGTCGCTCAACACGCACTTGTGCCCACTTCATGGTTCTTTAGCACGGGCCTCTTCCCAGGACTTCTCTGCTGACCAGGCTGATTTGTGATTCTTTATGACAGAGCCTCATCCACTGTAACGTCACCTCGGTCGTCAAGGTATGTGGTCCACACACGAGCTACGTGTATTAAAATGCAGTTGCTGCTGGAATGTGGCTGCTCAGAAGAATCGTGCCCTTCCACTGTAGAAGCAGAAGTCTTTGGAATCGAACCGCACTTAAATGAGAGGCCACATAATGGTCTTTCAATGGTCTAATTCTGTTTTCATCGAGAAAATACAGTGATGAGTTCACTCCCCCTCGTATCTGAATCCCACTTCCGTATTCAGTTTAATCACACGCCAGAACTTATTAGGCTTGATGACGCTGAAACTGACTCCGAATTCCAAGGCAATCATTCAAAAAATGTCATGTCTTCTTCTAATTTTAGTCTTTGTAAATAGAAGAAAGTTCAGTCTGGAAAACTGACAGAGGGCATGGCTTGGATTTTCTGGACCTTTGTTGTTCAATAAGTATTTGTTGAATGGAAGCTCAAGTTCATCTGTATTCTGATCCCAGCTCAGCTACTAATTAGCTGGGCAGCGTTGGGCAAGTTATTTAACCCCCTTGTACTTCCGAGTCTGAGTGTTGGACCAAGCGATGCCTTAGGTGCCATCCAGCACTCAGGTTCTCTGGTGAGGATCAGCTTCATGAGCATTTGTAGTGTGACTCTCTCAGAGCTGCTCTATGCTGTGCCTTTGTGTAGATAAGAAAAAGGCACCTCCTCTGGGCAGACAACTTAGAAAAAGGTGCTGGTTAAGAACGGCTGCAGGCCTTGGTGAGTAGATGTTGCCTGTGTGTGAGTGAAAGGTTTCTCCTTCCTCTGAAGGGACAGAGCCTTCTTCCTCTACCAGGAGTCATGGCTTGTGAGTAAGCCCTAAGATTCCCACCCGTACTCACTCTAAAGCTGGGCACCTTGCTCGGTACACAAAACACACAACTGTCCCGGGCGTTCCTGGCGACCACCCTGGAAGGTCCATGGAACTGCAGTGATGGATAAAGTCTGATTCCTGATTTCAAGGAGTGAGGATACTGGGTGGAGAGCAGAGCAGACTCAGACTCATCTGAGCAACCCAGCCTGGCAGTGGAGGAAGGCGGGTTTTCCAGAGAAAACCAGGTTGCTGTCAGCATAAGGTCAGGAAATGGATGCTGAATAGACACCCCCCCATTTTTTTTCCAGGTGGTTAAGTTGGGCTGACAACAATTAAATGTGGTTACTTTTCTGTAAGCACGCTGGTATTTTATAACTTCCTGTTTAGTTGTTACTGGGTATATACATTATTTTTACGCTGAGCAATCAGTGGCTTTTTAAAGCCCCCAGCTGATATAAATTTAGGTTTTATATGTCCAACTGTTGTCTGCAGCCCTACCACGAAAATCTTTCACGTTATTTTGCACATTGATCTTTCAGTCTTGGGCTGTTTGATCATAGGAGTTTCCCAAATGTATCTGGCAACCCTCTGACTCCCTTAGCAGAGAAATGCTTTGATTTGGCTAAAAACACACACACACACACACACACACACACACACACACACACACACACACACACACACACACAATGTATTGGTAAACACTAAGTTTCCCAAGTAACAAAGAAAATAAATTAAAGGTTAACTTTTTAGTATGCCAGGCCCCAATTAGCCATGCTGGTTGGAAGCATGACTAATGTCACTTAATTATTTTAAAGGAGCCATCTGGAAATAGTAGTGTTCCTGTCAAGGGCAGAGATGAGAGAACACAGGTTTGAGGGCAAAGGGAAGATGGGGTAAGAAGCGAAATACTGGGGGCTTTGAGACAGGGACCCACAAATCTCAATATTGTCTCTCTGAGTGGGGTCATTCATCCAGCAAGGCTGGTGAACTCATCTGGGAGTCTTGGAGGACACAGCAGTGCTGTCCAACGGGGCTCAGATAATACATCAGAGAAAGGGTGCTGACACAATAGGGTCCCTCAACCTCCCTCAAAATCCAATGTTTCAGAGGCAGTCTAGTGGGCTCTAGAGAGTTCCACCGCCCCACCCTCATGGTCCCCCAGTAGTGGACACATTCCCTGGAGGCTCTCAGAGTCCAGCGGACCGGCCTGTGAGATGGGAGCAGTGGCAGTGACAGAGCCTACCAAGAAGCCACTTCGGGGGCCCTAGACAACATGAAGAAATGGGCAGAATGTGTCCTCTGGCTCCAGGCTCCTTTATTTCTCTGTCCCTCTCCTTCCATGTGGCTCTTCTGTATCCAGCCTGCTCCTGGGACAGGGTCTGGTTCTGGTCCATTGTACTGCAGGGAACATTTCAACCCATGGGGTTGCCTCTTGCCCAAAGCATAAAGTGTGCATCTTGTAATTATGAAATGAAAAGCTCTCTTAGAGGAATATTTAGGCTCCAGAAGTGGTGGGGGTGGTAGGTGGAGAAGGGGAAGAGGTTTGTCAATGCTGTTGAGATGCCCATGGATAGGTGTAGCCACATACTCTGTCCACAGAGCTACTTTACATCCCACCTGCAGGCTGCATGAGCTGCTGCTGTGAAGTGAAGAGATATCCTTCACGGTCTCATCCCTTGTACATGAGATGCTCATAGATTCTTGCTAGGCTACCCGATGGTCCCCCAGATCCAACTCATGGCTGGTCTACTTTTGCCACGAGTATCTTGGCAACCTCAGCATGGACCCCACCACCGTGAGCCAATTCCCACCATCTTTTACCGTCTCCATTTTCCAGGAAGCCTTTAGCTTTGGGGGGAAGAACGCAGATGCCTCTGAACAGTCTGCCATGCGTCTAGGCCACCTCCTGTGGGTTTGAGACTGACTCTAGTGCATCCAGAACCACCTCCATGTGTGTTTGCAATTCTCAAGGCCATTCGAGAAGATGGGGCTTTTCTCTACTTCCTCCAGCACGCACTTTCCCAAGTCCCCTGCCCATTGCTACTTAGTTCTTAGTTCCTTTGTCGGGGCTGACCTCTTGCCTTCTCTTGCAGATGACGCAGCTAGTTTTGAAACACATGGAATCAAGGTGAGGCCTTTCTTTGAACATGTGTGCAGCGACATGGCCTCTTTCCCCTGGCAGGAAGCTGACTTGGGGACTGGGAGACAGGGGTCATCTGGCTGCTGCTTTAAGGAAGGATAAAAACTACAACGAAAGGCCATGGAGATGATGGGGGGGAACTAACATTCTGGGCCAGGCCAGCTCTGCACACAGACAAGCGTTCTTGAAGGTCAAATGTAACCCAAGTCGGAGGGAGGAAGAGAACAGAAGTTTCAGTACACACTGGATTTAAAACAACTTAAATAAGCTTGAGCATAAAAGAAAACTTCCGAAGTTGGCCTGAGACCAAGGCCATCTCTTAGTTATGAAATTTCAGCTTTTGTCAGAACGCGTAACCAAACTTATTGGCAAAATTCACCACCCTCTTGGTTTCTCCGTGTATTTCATGTTTATATCACCCCATCGCCATGTTTATGTCACCCCGTTGCAATGCATGGTTTTGCTCAGGTGCGATTCATTATAAGCAAAGGGTCGATAATTGTATCTTCTCTAGAGGAAGAAGGGGCTCTTATTCTAGTTTTCGGTTTCTTGTCCCTTCCCCTCCCCCATTGAATCTATGTAATTGGGAATGATTAAGGATATTGAATTTCAAAAGGCCAAGTAAGGCCCCTGGAGGCTTGTGTAGGGGTGTCGATGTGAGCAGATGCTGGACTGTCAAATTTCACCCAAGACAGCATTCCACAAAGTGACATCTGTCCTGCTGTGGGACATCTTTGAGAGTCTGAAGGGACTTGCAGCTCCTGTGGTCACATTGCAGGGAAGAGAAACTCTTCCCTTGCTTAAATCCTGGCTGAGCTCAGTTAATTATCAGTATTTTGGTGGCGAGACCTCTGTGGTGGTAGCAGAGTCTCTGTTTCCAGGAACAAGCCTCTGATGTCCCATGACAGCCAAGTGGCATCAAAGCGACATCCCTGAGCAGTGCCCTCCTGGAGAAGACGGGGGACGTTCCGCCCCCAGTCCCTGGAAGCAGAGCACTTAGCACACGTGCAACCCGGACAGGGCGGTTGGGCAGCGTTCACATGAGCCCCTGTGTTTTCTTTCTACTCAAAAGAGGGATTGGGGAACAAAGCAATGGAAACTTTGCTTCTTTGCCTTTCAGGCGGAAAGGTCTCATCTTGAACATTTCTTCTGGGGTGGCCCTCTTTCCCTGGCCCCTCTACTCCATGTACTCGGCGTCCAAGGTGAGTGATGGGTGGATCCTGGTCTCTTGCTTCTTCCTCTTCGTTCTCCTAGTTGGCACTTCCCTTTGGATCATTTGGCAAGTCGGTGGAAAGATTTACGGGGAGTCATTTCTACAGGGGCAGAGTGGAGCTGGTCACTGGGCTGTCCATGTGCAGATTAGAAAAGGACGCCTTCTCTGGACACATGAAGCCTTGCAACAACCCAGCTTGGCAAGCTGTGGGAGATTCTGGCCCACCCACCTCCTCCTGGGAGCCCCTCCCCCTTCCGGCTGACAAGTTATATCCTAGCCTCCCATGAGTCCTGGAGCCCTAGTCCGTGCTCGGCAGGGGAGAGCTTCCTCAGTGGGTTAATCTCTACAGTGGGCCTTAGAGATGTTTGTCCCAAAATGCATGTTCCTACTGATGGAGGAATGAAGTGCTAACTTCCATCAAAAAAAATATTTTTTTTCCTGTACGTTCTCCCTTCCCCCAGCCTTATTAAGGCAGGCATCTCTGACAAATAAAACTTGAATATATTTGTGGTACACGACGTGATAGTTTGATACATGTATAAGAGGGGAGACCCAGATTTTATTGATAAAAAACCGTATTTATTCTTACATGTTTAAACTTCAGTCACCTTCAAAGTGCTTTCCGTTTGATGCAATACACCTATCGAGACACTGTTTCCACTGCTCAAAACCGTTTTTGAACTCGGCAATTTTGATGCCTTTTAGTGTCTCTACTGTTTTTTGCTTGTTTGTTTGTTTGACCTCTTCCACATCGGCAAAATGCTTCCCTTTGAGGACTTTCTCCCTCCGAAGAAACAAAAAAAGTCGCTGGGGGGCGGGGGTGAATAAGGAGGGTAGGATACGAGGGTCCTGTCATGTTTGGTCCAAAGTTATTGAATACTCGGTGCAGAGTGGGCAGGTGTGTCGTCATGGTGGAAGAAACCAGTCACCAGTTTGCCACAACTCGGAATGTTTCTTCCATAACAGCCTCTTACGACAACGCTAGCTGGTACACTGATACCAGTGGGTTCCTAGCTCCTAGCCGCAGAAGCCTTTCCTGCCAGGGGTCTGCCCTCAAAAGATAATTCCAGGATGTTTGGGAGTCCAGCTGATCGACATATCTGTGACCTCAAGTATTTCTCATGTCTTTGTGGTGAGAACACTTAGGTTCTACTCTGCCGGCAGTTTTCAAGAATGCCACCCATTACTATGAAGTACAGTCACCCTGCCTTACATTCAATCTCTGGCACCTGTTCCTCCTATGTAACTGAAACTTTGGACCCTTGGGCCCCCATCTCCCCACTGTATTTTAGGGTCAAGCAGGTCTTGTCTCTGCAGTATCCCCTAAGATCTGAGTGGGCCGGCCCTGAGAAGAAGGCTCTGGCCTTAGGTTTTCTCCTTGTCGCTCCAGGCTTTCATGTGCGTGTTTTCCAAGGCATTGCAAGCAGAGTACAGAGCCAAAGGAATCATCATCCAGGTGAGGCGCTCACTTGGGGGTCCTGGGGAAGGGGTGGTATGGAGCCCTGCAGAGCCGGGGCCACTGCCTCCTGCAGGACTGACCAGCAGGGAGATGGGTTGGGGACACTGTGTGGTCTCCTGTGACCATGGCCAGGGCAGCTGCAGCCACCCGGTCCCACCTGCTGCTGTGGCATCTCCTGCTCTCCCTGGTGCCCCGGGCGCTGGAGGAAGAAATGAGGCTTGTGGAGGTGTTCGCTCAGAAGTGCTGTGGATTTTCTTGCTACTGATGCTACACCAGGACAAAAACCGGGGGCTTCTCTTTTCCTCTCTGACCTAGGTGGGTGGAGGACACAGGCTTACATGGGAGGGAATTGTGGAGAAGAAACCAACTAAACCAAACTGGGCACCTGGTCCTTGTTGGAAAGAAGGGAGGGACGAGTAACTGGGGAGGGGTCTTTCTGTGATGGGCCCCAGAGGTCCCGCACTCTGGTTCCTGGGCAGCCTGAGAAGAGGCGCTCTGCTTCCCCTCACCAATGACCACAGAGCCGGCATGGAGCCCACCCGTCTTCACCCGTATTCAGCTGGGTCCTCACTACCCTCTGAAGGCTGGGCAGTGTGACGTCCCAAGGCCAACGACTTACTTGTGCTTGGTTCAGCCATAGAATTAGAGCTAAGCCGTCTCTGGAACCTAGAATAAACAGTTCACAGAGGTGGTTTTTTTTTTTTATTGTTGTTTAGGAAGACGTTTTACGATATACCATTGGAAATGGGAAAAAAGCACACTCAAAGTTCTATCTTTAAAGTTATTGCTGCACACGTTGTCTTTAAATTAAAGTGCCCAGGTGAGAGTATTTTAGATAGTTGTTACTACAAACTAAACAGCTACAGGGAAACACTTTTGAAACAGGCAGACAGGAGGTAATGATAGGAGTTTAGCTAATCACATCATTTTCCTAGACTTAGTGAGCGATTGTCACAGCCTTGTCAGCTTGCCATGGTTCCTCTCTCTGCCCGTAGAACTAGTCTATCCCATCAGAAATTTCCTTTTCCTTCCATGCTGTGCTTGTCATGCAAGCTGAAGTCAGGACC